CTCAGTAATTGGGACATAATTATAGTCTGATTGTAGTCCAGTAGCCAGGAATAGAGAGTCTATTGTAGATGCTAAAGAAACAAGGATCGTTTTTTCTTGAGATGAGGTCTCACTCAGTCACCCAGGCTGGAGTGCAGTGGTGCGATCTCAGCTCACTGCAACCTCCACCTCCCAGGTTCAAGTGATTCTCCCGTCTTAGCCTCCCGAGTAACTGGAATTGCAAGCATGTGCCACCAACCCTGGCTAATTCTTGTATTTTTAGTAGAGACAAGGTTTCACCATGTTGGCCAGGCTGATCTAGAACTCCCGGCCTCAAGTGATCTGTCCACCTCAGCCTCCCAAAGTGCTGGGATTACAGTCATAAGCCATGATTCCTGGCACTTTCTTCCATAAGTTTGGTGGAAAAGTAATTGAGGCTTTTGCCATTATTTTCAATTTGCACCAACTATTACCATGTCAAGTCTAGAGGCTTCCGGCGGGCATCTAAGGTTGTTCACAGTGTGATCATCATTTTCAACCTCAGTTGCCACTTGCTTCCCCAATGTGGATTTCCTCTTTAGATAGGCAGAATTCACATCTTCACCATAGCTTTCTCTTAGGAATTGTTTTTTTTGAGACAAGGTCTCAATATGTTGCCCAGGCTGGCCTGGAACTCCTCAGCTCAAGCCATCCTCCTGCCTCAGCCTCCCGAGGAGCTGGGAGTTACAAGCATGAGTCTGGCATTACAGGCATGAGCCCTCCCGCCTGTCCATGATATAGCATTTAGTTAGTCTACCCTTTCTCTTCAAGGGCGCATAAGTCTCTTAAGATTTTTTCTGATCCTACTGCCATGCAATATGCTTATTTGAGTAGGTTTTTCCCACCCTCCTCCTCACTCATCTCTCCTGTATGTAGTGGGACATTTTTCTCTGCTTATGGAAAGAGACTGGCCACACAGTTGCCACATTTTGGATCTATACGTACATGGTCACCTGTAATGTCAAAGTCACAGAAGAGATCTTTGAGTTCCTGTTTTTGAATATTGAAGAGAAATCTATACATTCCGAAGTTTTTTGGACTGATTATCTGATCCCCATTCAGATCAAGCAGGTCAAAGACAGTCCGGGAATGACGATACATAAACTGTTCTTCCAAATGGTTCTGTTGCGAGAGAAATAGGTAAGATGAGCGACAGTGTTGTCAATGCTGCTTTCTAAACTTGTCTCATCAAGATATATCTTCACCAGCCCCTTCCCAAGAGAGCTAAAAGCAAAAGACAAAATCAGAAGCTCAGAGCTGAAAGTGTTCTGTCATCAATGCAGCAAGTCCCACTTCAGCATCTGCATTCAAAAAGAACTTGAAATCTGCCACATGTAGCAATCAATTCTGCTAGACAGAACTCTGGTTACTATAATGCATTTCCTCACATTCAGTGAAAGTCTTGTGAAACATCATAGCATGGGTGATAAAATGATGACCTTCTTTCCTCAAAAAAATGGGAACTGAGGCCGGGTACAGAGGCTCACACCTATTATCCAGCACTTTGGGAGGCCAAGGCGGGTGGATCACTTGAGGTAAGGAGTTTGAGACCAATCTGGACAACATGGTAAACCCCTGTTGCTATTAAAAATACAAAAATTAGCCGGGTGTGGCGGCATGCACCTGTAGTCCCGGCTACTCGGGAAGCTGAGGCATGAGAATTGCTTGAACCTGGATGGTGGAGGTTGCAGTGAGCTGAGATCATGCCACTGCACTCCAGCTTGGGTGACAGAGACTCAATCTCAAAAAAAAAAAAAAAAGAATTGAACTGGGTAAATACACACTGGAAGTATATATACGGTAAGGAAAGTTTCCACCTTCAGAAAATTCCCTGAGAAAAAGGATCATTGAAGGAGTGAGGCATTTGAGCTCACTGGTGATTCTCTGACAATCACCAGCTACAACGAGTGAAGAAAGGAATGTCGAGAAGGGATAGGATGGCCAAATCTGTCCTCTGTGAGGAGCAGGGGAGTGGGGGAGTGGGAGGGCAGCCACGAGGCTGGGGCTACAGCAGGGAGAGGCTGTTGAAAAACCTGAGCCATTCAGGAACTAAAGCTCATTGTTCTCCCCACCACCCTTTTTTATTCTTTTTTTTGAGATGGAGTCTCTGTCGCTCAGGCTGGAGTACAATGGCGCAATCTCAGCTTACTGCAGCCTCCACCTCCCGGGTTCAAACGATTCTCCTGCCTCAGCCTCCCGAGTAGCTGGGACTACAGGCACACGCTGCCATACCCAGCTAATTTTTGCATTTTTAGTAGAGACGGGGTTTCACCATGTTAGCCAGGATGGTCTCGACCTCCTGAGCTTGTGATCTGCCCGCCTCGGCCCCCTAAAGTGCTGGGATTACAGGCGTGAACCACCTTGCCCGGTCTGCACCACCCATTTTTAATTCCTCTTTTTAGTGAAAGGAAGAAAACCTCTGATACATTCCTAATTCAGTGCTCCTTTTAGGAAGAGAGTGGCAGCAGCCACGCTAACACTTGCCTCGTGAGCCAGCAGTATGCACACCAGCACGTAGAACTGCTCAAAACCGATCTCGCCCACAGCACTCCAGTCCAGCAAGTCAAACACGAGGTTGATCTGTGTCTTATTCAAGTCAGTCGCATGATGAAGGAAGTGGTAGAACAGCACATCTGTTAAGGGGGCAGGTGAGCACATGTGTTGGAAACAGTTCCAAAACGCTAAACAGCTGGGAGCTACATAAACGGTAGTGATGTTGGAAACTTGATCTAGGAAGAACGATGATAACATTTTGTTTCTGGCTTTGCCACTGTGCTTTCTACAATTCCTCAAACCTTCATCGCCCTTGAGCTTGTGGAATAGCAATGGACCTGGAGTTGTGGAGAATGAGATCATGGACAGGGCTTCGCTCCTGCCTCCAGCTCACACAAGTCCATTAGTCTATACCAGCATTTCTCAAACTGTAATGGGATACCAATCACTTGGGGATCTTGTAAAACTACAGATTCTGATTCAAGAAATCTGTTATGAAACCTGAGATTTCCCATTTCGTCAAGCTCCTAGGTGATGTAGCTGCAGCTGGTCTGAGCACCATGCATTGAGCGACAAAGGTGTGCCTCACATAGGAAGCAGCAGAGCTGGGGTTCAAGTGTGAATTTGCTTGACCATGGTGTTTTTTCCATGGTGAAACTCTGTCTTTTGTGCATTAGTTAATGCATATTTAATCATATACATTCAGAAGAAAAAATACTGAAAAACTCTTTAAAGAACTGGGAAGCGCCGGGCCTGGTGGCTCACACCTATAATCCCAGCCCTATGGGAGGCTGAGGTGGTTGGATTACTTACGTTGAGGAGTTTGAGACCAGCCTGACCAACATAGTGAAACCCTGTCTCTACTAAAAATACATAAATTAGCTGGGCATGGTGGCATGCACCTATAATCTCAGCTACTCAGAAGGCTGAGGCAGGAGAATCACTTGAACCCCGGAGGCAGAGTTTGCAGTGAGCCAAGATCGTGCCACTGTACTCCAGCCTGGAGACAGAGTGAGACTCCCTCTGAGAAAAAAAAAAAAAAAAAGAACTGGGAAGTTTTTGTTGTTGTTTTTTGTTTTTTTTCGTTTTCAAGATCTTTTTGCATACCAAGTACAGAGAAGTTTTTTGCCTGCCATTCTACTCATTAATCATAAATAAAAGATGAAAAAAAAAACATGGCAATACACTTACACAGTGTTATGTGGCTGTCTACAATTGTATGCACAAATCACAGTAACAAGGGATTTTTACTTTTATCTACATTGGTTTCCCTTTGCCCACTGATTACAGAAACTATCTCCTGCGTAAGAAATGGCTCCACTGAATACGTAAAACCTGTATGTGTAATGTGGAGTCCCAGCTGAAGCCAGCTAAAAGCACAGCAAATCTGTAGTCACAGTGTCATGATTTGGGGGCTTCTGACATCCCCTTAATGTTCCTTCTCTACACCTCCCTGGATATGAGCACCTGGAAACAACACACCATAATATACACAGTGATGTTTGTGTAATTGCTCCTGGAGAAACGTTTCCATGTGCAACTTAGTAGCCACTTACTAAAGACTATTTTGAGGCTGGGTGCTGTGGCTCACACCTGTAATTCAGCACTTTGGGAGCCCAAGGCAGGCGGATCACTTGAGGTCAGGAGTTCAAGACCAGCCTGGCCAACATAGTGAAACCCTGTCTCTACTAAAAATTCAAAAATTAGCCAGTGTGGTGGTGCACAGCTGTAGTCCCAGTGTTTGTTATTATTGTAATTATTATTCTTGGGAGCTGAGCCCCACTTAGGCATTAACTCTGGAGACCCCTTAGCAAGACTTCTTATCTGTCAAGTGGGAAGAGTTTGAATCTGATGAGCTACGGGATCCCTTCTACTTATTAATACTTGTGAATGACAAAAAAAAAAAAAAAAAAAAAAAGGCTGGGTGTGGTGGCTCACGCCTGTAATCCCAGCACTTTGGGAGACCAAGGAGGGTAGATCACCTGAGGTCAGGAGTTCAAGACCAGCCTGGCCAACATGATGAAACCTCGTCTCTATTAAAAATACAAAAGTTAGCCTGGCTTGGTGGCGGGAGCCTATAATCCCAGCTACTTGGGAGGCTGAGGCAGGAGAATCGCTTGAACCCAGGAGGTAAAGGTTGCATGAGCCAAGAGGGCACCACTGCACACCAGCCTGGGCGACAGAGTAAGTCTCCGTCTCAAAAAAAAAAAAGAAAACAAAAAAAAAGGCTGCAGATCTCAACTGTGCTCGTTGAGTTCACAAACACATAGAATTCCAATTAAAGCACTTTAGGTTCTTTTCAGGACTGGATAGAAATAAGGAATCCTACCTATTCACTTGCTCTGACCGCTGAGAGAGAAATGCTATTTGTGAGTAAGGGGTTTCTCCGTCGTTATTTTAAGGGTTCGTTCAATCTTTAAAAACAAACAATAAAAAGGGGACACCTTCTTTTTCTCTTTAATAGAGATTTACGTACAGTGCGTTGCCAAATCTTCACAATAACCCTGCCTTGATAAAGCAGCTGCAGGGGACCTGGTTGTAAATAAAAGGTTAACATGGAAACATGGGCTCTCTGCCTGCCAAGCCCACACTGAGTCTCGCTGGGATGCTTGAGGAGAAGAGTCTCAGCTCCCTGGTAACCAGTTCACTCCCTGGTGATGCAATACCCAGGAGATAATGCCATGCTCAGGTCGGGTCACAGAGGGACTGGAAGGGTGAAGGCACAGCCTTAGTGTTTGCCCTCCTGTGGGGGAATGACTTAAGGTTTTGGAGATTTGGGTGAGCCAGAGTCTGCTGCTTTCAAAACAGTCATTTATTTAAGAAAGACAGAGTCTCACTCTGTCACCAAGGCTGGAGTGCAGTGGTGCTATCTTGGCTCACTGCAACCTCCGCCTCCCAGATTCAAGCGATTCTCCTGCCTCAGTCTCCCGAGTAGCTGAGATTACAGGCGCCCACCGCCATGTCAGGCTGACTTTTATATTTTTAGGATAGACAACGTTTCACCATATTGGCCAGGCTGGTCTCCAACTCCTGACCTCAGATGATCTACCTGCCTTGGCCTTCCAAAGTGCTGGGATTACAGGCATGAGCCACCGTGCCCAGCCTTTTTTTTTTTTTTGTCATTCACAAGTACCTATAAGTAGAAGGTAGACGGGATCCTGCAGCTCATCAGATTCAAACTTCCCACATGACAGATTAGAAGTCTTGCTGAGGGGTCTCCAGGGTTACTGCCTGAGTGGGGCTCAGCTCCCAAGAATAACAATTACAATAATAACAAACACTTATTAAGTCCTTACAATGTGTCAGACACTGTGCTAAGCATTTGCCATACATTATCTCATTACCTTTTTTTTTTTCCAACTTTGAGATGGACTCCATTATAAGAAGCCTCACCTTGGCCGGGCGCGGTGGCTCAAGCCTGTAATCCTAGCACTGTGGGAGGCCGAGGCGGGTGGATCATGAGGTCAAGAGATCGAGACCATCCTGGTCAACATGGTGAAACCCCGTCTCTACTAAAAATACAAAAAATTGGCTGGGCATGGTGGCGTGTGCCTGTAATCCCAGCGACTCAGGAGGCTGGGGCAGGAGAATTGCCTGAACCAGGGAGGCGGAGGTTGCGGTGAGTCGAGATCGCGCCATTGCACTCCAGCCTGGGTAACAAGAGCGAAACTCCGTCTCAAAAAAAAAAAAAAAAAAAAGAAGGCTCACCTCTAGATGAGGAAAATGAGACTTGGAGAGGTGATGATGAGGTATCAACACCACCAAAGAATAACAGGTGTTGACCAGGATTCCACCACACAGCCTGCAATTCTTTCCTCCCCACTGAACTGTCCCAGCGTCAATTCTCAGTTGGCAATTTCTCTCTGTGCTTCAACTAGAAGATAAAAGATTTACTAACAGACTGGGCACAGTGGCTCACACCTGTAATCCCAGCACTTTGGGAGGCTGTGGTGGGTGGATCACCTGAAGTCAGGCGTTCGAGACCAGACTGGCCAATATGGTGAAACCCTGTCTCTACTAAAAATACAAAAAATTATCTGGGCGTGGTGTGGGCCGCCTGTAACCTCAGCTACTCGGGAGGCTGAGGCAGGAGAATCACTTGAACCCAGGAGGCAGAGGTTGCAGGGAGCCGAGATTGTACCATTGCACTTCAGCTTGGGTGACAGAGCAAGACTACGTCTCAAAAAAAAAAAAAAAAAAAAAAAATTTACTAACAAAACAATTTCTGGCTCTGCAAGTTTTCCCGCACATTAGCTAGAAATCAGGTAAGGACCCAGAGGAGACATGTCTGGAAGTACTGACCATTCAAGGTGTTCTTGCCGTGAACATCTAGGAGGTGAAAATATTCCAACAAAGCCCTCACATTTCTCACAGATAGTAAGCAGTGTACTTTGTCCAGATAGAGGTACCACAGAAAGGATCCTTGCTTCAGTCTCATCTTAGTATTCTGTAAACTGAAGGCTCTGGCAACCAGAAATAGAATAGAGAATCCTGCCTCAGAAGTAGAATGTTGGACAGAGTGTCTGAAACCTGGCAGCAGTAAAGGTAAACACGTGAGAAGAAACAGTCAAAAAGTAAAATTGCTGCTTAATTTTTCCAGCTATGCTATAGATATCTGTTGTCTGAAATCTCTTGCTAACGTGATTATCCTTATGTCACTAAAATACAATTATTTCTAAGATCCACACAGAAATGAATGAGAGAATGTGCTACACAGGAAAACTGCTACAAAGCCCAAGTGGTTTTCAGAGCATTTATAGCCTAAAGCATTTATTAGAAACAAGAAATATTGAAAAACACACAGAAAAGTACTAAAAGAACCTAGAATAAGTACAATAAAATAATGTCAAAGAGGAGGAATCTCCCTTCCCTTCCCCTCCCCTCCCCCCCTCCCTTCCCCTCTCTTTTTCCTTTCTTTTTGAGACAAGGTCTTGCTCTGTCACCCAGGCTGGAGTGCAGTGGGGCGATCGCTGCTCATTGCAGCCTCCACCTCCCGGCCTCAGCAATCCTCCCACCTCAAGCCCCCAAGTAGCTGGAACCACAGGCGCGTGCCACCACACCAGGCTAATATGTGCACTCTTGGTAGAGATGGGGTTTCTCCATGTTGCCCAAGCTGATCTTGAACTGCTGGGCTCAAGCAATCCACCCTCTTTGGCCTCCCAGAGTGCTGGGTTGACAGGCGTGAGCCACCATGCCTGGTCTTCATATTTTTAAAAAGCAAAAATAATCAAGTAAAATTGGTTTTAATAACATTTTATCTCATCTGACACAATGGTTGTCAAAGAAAATTTTAAAAAAGAATAACATTTAATCTAACCCAATATATCCAAAATATTCATTTCAATTTGTAATCAACGTTTTTTTAAAAATTAAAATCCAGGGGCCGGGCTCGGTGGCTCAAGCCTGTAATCCCAGCACTTTGGGAGGCCGAGGCGGGTGGATCACAAGGTCAAGAGATCGAGACCATCCTGGTCAACATGGTGAAACCCCGTCT